GAGGAGGAGGAGGAGGAGGAGGAGGAAGAGGAGTTATTTTTAAATAGATCATGACTGAGAAGGGAAGGATTAAGCCTCCCTCCTCTCTAGGTGCTCTGATCCCAGCCAAAAATCAACACAGAATATTGTTAAATGTACTTTTTCTCTTCATGCCCAGCAGGTTTTCATCAGGTGTAGGTCCACATCTAGAACAACCAGATGTACACCTATAATGCAAAATTAGGTGGTTCCAACACAAATTTAAAATACTGCCACTTTCCTTTTCTGTCACTTACGTGTTGTTTCGGTACCCCTGAGGCCTTCACTGGCAAAACTAACATAGATGGCAAACACAGCAATCTGATACTCAGTTAGAGACATCAAGTTTTTCAATACTGCTGTTGAAACCGTTCCATCTACCACCACCTGTATGAAAGCAAAGGTGCCGTTAAACAGGCTTTTAAAATGTCCACGGAGCAGGCTTTCTCCTTCACTTGGAAACAGGCTGTAATTCAATTCCCAAGGAAAGATCTTGAACATTGATTAGAGAAGTTCAGGAGTATTTGATCACTGCTTCTAATAGCGATTAGTAATGTATTTTGCTTAGCAGAATTATGGGAACCTATCGTTTAAGGCTTTACATTATGTAAATCCTGATTCTGCTCACGTGTGTGAGAACAGCCTGTTCATTTTCCATCCTAACCCACCCCCAGGAGTTTTTGGTCTTCCAAAACATACTCAACACAACTTGCAGGCACCAAAACTTTGTCCAGTTTTCTGTTGGGGATCAACATTACAAAAGGAATCAAGATAAATAATATTCCTTTTTTATATGCATGTAGCACACTCATCTAATCAACTAAATGGACAAACTGGTGGCAAGATCCATTCCAAACAGTTTTTAAGTTGTGAATTGCATCTTTTCCCATCTATTAATTATTTTCAGGTAAGTACACAGCTGGGGGATTGTTATTCCAGTACCTCTTCTGGTTGCCCTCCTTTGGTGGGATAATAGACAACTCGGTACTTTTCCACCTTGCCTGGTGCATGAGTCCAACTCACACGGAATCCTCTGGCTGTCACCTCAGATGTGACCAAATCTGTAGGTGCTCCAAGTGTGGCAACCAATGCTCCTAAAGTTTTAGACATCAGAGAAGCAATTATTTCACCACCCCAAAATGATCATCTTGTTCAGCGGCTCACTTTTCTAGATCTTGTATCCAATCTGCTGGTGGGCAACTCAATAAAAAACTCAGATCACTGTGCAGTTGAAACGTCTTGTATTTCTGGAACTCAGGGTCATCCAAAGGAATGGAATTTTGGAGAAATTAAATGGAAGAAGCCTTTTACCCAACATATAGAATTTGTTAAAATAATATGTACTGATGGCTACCACACTGACATTAAAGAATTACTCATGAAGAGAATACTGGCTGCTAGTCACTATGGCCATAGTGTGTTAGTCATGTCGCAAAAGAAAGCGGGATGAGATAGTCTTTTAGCGTGACCTAACATCATTCATTGTATGTCCTTTGAAAAGAGTATATCTCCTGGCTATTCCTACCTTTAATTTCTTTTTCTTGTTCTTCAACTCTCAAGCACACAGTCTTTGTCAGTTCTTCCACAATGGAGTTCATTAAACTGAAGTCAGCAACATTGTAGACATGAGTGCTGTGTGGTTCTGAGGCAATCTCCCTGAGTTCATTTTCATCAGCATTCTTTACACCTGGCATCAGAAGAAGAAACAACAAAGTGCAATTTTACATAATAAAATAGCTTGGCTTGGACATCAGTTTGAAAAAAAAAAGTTTGATTTTTGATAAGACAGTGTGTGAGCCCAACCATTGTGATTATAAACCATGCTTTATGGTTTAGCATGGTGTGTGAACTAATCTACCGTGGCTTATTTGAAAAACCATGGCTTTGTAAACCGATCTGAGGACAGTGTTTGTTCATGGCAGACATCACTTGATCAATGATCAATATGGTCAGGAGAACAACCTGCCTGCAAACTGTTCTTGTTCTCTGGAGGCTTATCAGCAGAAGGTAGATGCCCATCACCTACTGTTAGCAAGGTTGTGGTTCTTATGGCAGGACTGCAACCTCCAGGTTTCTGGAAGGCCACAAGGAGCCAATCCAAGGCAAGTGATGTCACTGAAAAGGTCTTGGCTAAGCTCATTGGTCCCTTCTCTGAGATTTGGGGTGGTTAAAGATGTGGCTGGGAATGGAGCTAATGTTTCAACTTTGAAATGCTCTCTTCCAAGTTAAAACAGCTGCTCTGTCTGGCACAACTCCATTCCAAACTCAAAACAATCCCATTTAACAATCAAAGCACATGTTCTAAACTTGAAACTGCCATTTTGAGCTCAAAACAATTCAATTTTGAAACGTTTTGCACATCCCTACTTAAATCATCCCCTAAACCCCTAAAATAGCCTGAATTCACACCACCAAAATTCAGCTACTTTACTGCTGAGTTTAGGCAGCCGGGAACCACACGCAGCCTGCTGTAACTGCCTGTTACATTGTGGATCCTGCACTGAGCTAGGCAAGGGCTGCATGACCTCTAGAACTTTTCCAATTCCATGACTTCATTGCAACAATACATACCTATAGCAAACAGTTCAATGCCAGCATCTCTCAGGTTTTTTGCAGGAGGAATGACATCATCTTGAGATTTCCCATCAGTGATCAATATGCCAATTTTGGGAACTCCAGGTCTTGAACCTGCATCTGGCTTAAAGTTGTTTTCCAAAATAAAAGTTAAGGCGAGGCCTGTGCACAAAAAAGAAGGGAGAGATAGAGAGAGAGAAAGGATGAAGAGAAGGAGAAGGAGAAGGAGAAGGAG